TTTAGGGTTTAGGGTCCCTTTTTGGGTCCTTTTTATAAGGGTGCGGTACTATATATTTGGGACCTAGAAAGGGGCCCTAATTTAGAGAACTACCCAAACCTAAACCCTAAACCCTAAACCCTAAACCCTAAACCCTAAACCCTAAACCCTAAACCCTAAACCTTCAACCCTAAACCCTAAATTTGCTGAGTGTTCCGGCCCTTGTAGTGGGGTTTAGGGTGTGCTTAGGGCCTCAGCCTCGAGATAGACCGATTTACCCTGCCCTAAACATGCAAACGCAGGGTTTAGGGTTTAGGGTTTAGGGTTTGGGGTTTAGGGTTTAGGGTTTAGGGTTTAGGGTTTAGGGTTTAGGGTTTAGGGTTTAGGGTTTAGGGTTTAGGGTTTAGAACCCCTAGCCATGTCCTTTCATCAAAGCAGTCGTCTGTGGGGGTGTCCTTCTGCAAAGAGAGGAGGGGTTAGGTTGCAGCGAGCCCTCTGAGATCGTGGAGTCTTGCCAAATCTCGGAAAAGCCTGTGAGCCCTACATTCCAAAACTGATGTAGCCTCCACAGAGGTTTGACAGAAGCTAAGGCGGATTCTGCACCATCAGTTGCAAAGCTCTCAGATTCTAGTGATTCTAGTGTCCTCCACACCCACCCTAAACCCTAAACCCTAAACCCTAAACCCTAAACCCTAAACCCTAAACCCTAAACCATAAACCCTAAACCGTGCCCTGAAGAGCCTCCAAATCCGACGCCTTCAATCCCGCCTAAAGGTTCCTCAGTTAGGGAGAGCCTTCAGTAAGTCTGGAGACCACCCGCTATTACCTTAAGCGTTTTTACCCTGTATCCCACCCTACGTTTTCCAATAATCCTTGTAAAAATCCCTAATTCCTGACCTTCCCTCTCTCAACCGATTTCCCTATGTAATCCATTTAAATGTCCTTGTTATAATCCTTTGTAATAAATTCTGAATAAGAGTGATAGAATGTATTTTTACAAATATTATTGTGAAGATAAACCCTAAGAACATCCTAATTATTCAATTCATGTGATTGTATATATCTATCCAAAAATGGGTAGTGCTCTTCGTTTTCTTTTGTTATATTAAAATCTATTTGTTCCAATCTTTCTTTACTACAAATATATTTATTTCCTTTCTTATGAATTTGTAATATCAGTCCGTGATTTTTAATCAGTTTATCCAGTCGCCAAGCATACCTATAACGAACATCTTTTATATCGTTTTTATTATAATACTTTAAAATTGCATCTTTAATTGGCACATAGTTTTTAGTTTCTATCTTGTTTATTTTCTTAAGGTGTGTTTCTATGTTGTTTGAATTGTTATTTAATGTTTTTGTTTTAGGTTTTTTCACTTTCTTTATTTTATCTTTTTGATCCTTCTTGTCTATATTTGCCAAGAACGTATTAATAGTTTCCTCCTGTTCCTCATAACTGAACATCATACTATCTAATATATATATATATACACACATAATATTTCTTTAAATACTTTTCTAAAGAATTTTTTAAATACATTTTTACATACTAACCCTTCTTCACTATATATGTGTCTTCATCCTTCACGATTTCGTAATATTCTAAAGTGCTTGGTCGCGGTTCTTTGATTTCTCCGGTGTTAAGTTTGTTTAAATATGTCTTTCGTTTGTTTAAATATGCAGTGTCTTTGGTCTCCGGTGGTTTGCTTGAAAAAAAGACTTCTTATTATCATTATTGTTGAGGGTATTTACTAATTTAGTGTCTAAGTTTTTTTTTTATGGTGTTGGTCAAGTCTTTCAGTGCACTCTCTAACCCTTCGGTCATATATAATAAACTAAATATTTTTCAAAACGTTGGTTTTAAAACTTTTCTTTATTACTCGCGGCGCAGTTGCAACTCTTGCAATATGCTACGCAGTTTTCTATCGTGTGCCATTCCGCGTTTGACTTTCGTTGTGCCGTCAAGTTCGTATGTATGTTTCCCTTTGTCATTTTCAAATGAAACTCTATCCCGCATTTTACACAACAACCGTTCAGCCTTTCCATAAGCCAGTCAGCCGTTATAAAGTGCTTGTGCTCGACCTTTCTTTTCCCCGCGTGGTCTTGTTCCTTGTATCCCTTGACCTTCCGACACATATAGTTATACACGCAGTTTTGATTAAACACATCTTCTTTCACATCCGAGTTATACTTATAGAAATACACCTTATTTAAATCAGTGCTTCTCGTGATCGCTGTGTATAACCATTCTTTACTAACGAGCCAGTGGTTATAATCAAATATGGTTATTGTGTCGTCTATGCTACTTCCTTGGACACTGTGGCAAGTATAACAGTATGCGAATATAAAGTGCTTCCTTAAAATCTCTATCGGGACTTCTTGCGATTTCCTTTCAACCTCATCGCATAAAACCACCGTTTCGTGATTTATGTTTTGGATGACATACCTAAAGTTCACATTGAATTTATGCCTCGTTGTTTTTAAATACTCTCTGCATATCATCACCTCGCCCACCTCGTATTCTGCTTTTCTGTTTTCAGTTTTCCTTATCTCCTTCGATACTTCCCTGCAGGTGTCGTTCAGATAAGCTATATTGTTTTTATTCAGGCTTATCGCCTTCGTGTATTTGAAGTATCGTTCGATCAGCTCCTTAGGTTTCACATTGTTTATAAATATGTCGTCGTATATGTTGGATAGTTTTTCCTTATCTTCCTTGGTCTTTAGTCTCTTGCATTCCTTAAGGTATATACCATATTTGAATATCTGATTTATACACGAGTTCATATAGGGTTCGTGTTCCTGTGTGTTGGTCAGTTCATTCACCGGCTTCAGTGTCGCCTGTGCCTATGATTATCAGCTCGGGGTTCTTTTTAGCAAATTCCCTTATTCTGTTCAACAGGCCTAAACCGTTGAAATACACTTCATCAAAAACAATGGCATCGTATCCGCTATAATCCATTGGTTCTAACCTCTCCTCGGCTATGGATATGCCGAAAAACTTATTAACTGTGATCGCCTCTTTCCCGTATTTTTGAACCAGTTTGTTAGTGGGACAAACAAATAAAACCCTCATACCCATCTCACCCATTCTTTCGCATATATACGACTTGCCCGACCCCGCGTATTTGGCTCTTATCATCACTTGCTTTGCTTGTGTTTTTTTCCTATGATGTCCTGCATATCGTATTCGTCCTCTATGTTCAGTTCTACATTTTCAGGTGTTGTTATTTCTACTGCCTCGTTCGCCTGTTGTTGATATATCACCGACG